TCTGAGCGTTGGGACTTTGGGGAGCGCAAGGCGGTGGCGGACCCTCCTCCTTCCCGTCCCAGCCCTCCTCCGGCCCTCCCTTCCCGGCCGGCAGGAATGTGCGGCCGGCACAACCCGGCTTCCACCGCCGGCACGAATTCCTCCTCCTCCTCCTCCTCACCCCGCTCCTGGGGCCACCCAGACCTCCTGAATGCCCAGCACTGGGGACCAGGAGCCCCTGGCCCCGGGGTGGTGTGGGGGGAACAGAGGTGTTGGGGACCACCGGGGTGTGAAGTGGGTGATAGGAGAGGAGGGTTTGGGCTAGGGAAGGGCTGGCATGATGAGACCTCATTCTGGGGAGAAATTTGGGGTCAGCCCCTCTGCCTGTGCCCCCAGTCCCAGGGATGCTGGGGATGTTTGCCCATTGCGCCCAGACCCCCAGGTGATGGGCGAGGGGGGGTGTAAAAATCCCTCTTGTTGATTCTGAGGTCAAAACCCTCCATAAAAGCCAAACTTTATCCGAGGGCTGAGTCCCCAAATCCCCCTGGAGGAGGGGGGTTGTGACTAGAGGGGGGAGTTGTGCGTGGAGGAGGGGTTTGTGCCCGGAGCTGGGGGTTTACTGGCAGGTGATAGAAATGGGGCTGGGGCAACTGGTTTTGGGGTTTGCTCCTCTGCCTTGAGAGAGGCAGTGCTGCTCTGGGAGGGGGAGAAGGACGGAGGGAGTGGGAAAGAGGGGAGTGAGAGGTGGAGGGGGCCGGGAGAGTGCAGGTCTGAGGTCTCTGCAGCGCGTCTCGGGGCTGGAACGGAGCCGCCGGCAGGACAAAGGGATGCCTGGGCTGAGCGGGGCTGCGAGATATTTCCACCCAATCCGGAAACGGGAGGGAGCAGAAATCCCACAGGAAACCTCGCTCCCATGACCTGACCGTGGTACGGAGCGCTCCAGCCGTGCCGTCCCGCCGGCCAGGTGCATCCCGCCGGCCCTGTGCGCGACGGGTGGGGGGCACCACAGGGACCCCGCTGTGTCCCAGCACCCTCCCTTTGCCCTGAGGGGGCAGGAAGTGAGAAAATTGCAGAGCAAGCCCAGTGTGGCCTTACCTGTCCAGAGAGCTCTTGCCGGGATGCTTTTGCCCCTTTTTTGGCAGATCCCCGTCTGTGGTCTCTGCTCCGGGTGCCACATCGGGACCTGGGGTTGGGCTGGAGTTTGGGGTGAGGCTGGAGTTTGGTGCCTCTGTCCCGGGACAGGAGATGTTCCCCACAGGCTCCTGGTCTATCCTGGCTGTGGCTACCCCTGGGGTGTCCTGGGGAGCCTCTTCCTCCTCCTGCTCTGCTTTGCCAGCAGACCCAGGTGTGTCTGTGCCAGGGTCAGGGGTGCTGGATGTCTCGACGGACTTGGGATCGGGGAGTGGGGCTGTCTGGGGGTTTTTGTTGCTGGGGGTCCCTTTCTCCCGGCAGCTCTGGCTACTTGTGGCTTTGCCCAGGTTCTTCCCTGCCTTGCCCAGGTTCATCCTGGGCATGGTCCCCATATGGCTGTACATGTCTGATGACCGGGCGTAGGGGCCAGGGCTCTTGGGCATGGTGTTGAGATCATCCTGAGTGCTGTCGAAAGGGTCTTCCAGGAAGCCATGGGGAGGAGGGAGACCTGGCCCCAGGTTCTCCGGGGAGCTGGGTGCCACAGACACTCGCCGGAGGGTGAAGGAGCGGGGGATGCTGCTCAGGCTCCCAAAGCCTTTGAACTTGAAAAACTCTGGCAAGGAAAGAAGAGAGATGAGTGTGGCGTTAGCGCCAGCACGGTGTGATGGTGGGGGGGTCCTGGGTTGGGGTGGGCACCATGCCATGATGCAGCCTGGTGTCAGCCCCCTTACACCCTGCATCCCCAGTCCCAGCCTGGCATGACATCCCTGTGGCCTGGGGTGTACGTGATGCTGCTTGGGGCATCTCTGTTGGGACCCTGGGAGGAAACTCGGGGAGGTCCCTCAGGGAGGAAACGTCCCCCATGCCCTGGCAAATCTAGCAGCTGCCTTTCCCCATGGCAGCTGTAGGGGTGGAGAAAGAAACACCCAGCTCTGACGAGTAAGCAGTGTCAGAAATGATTTCAAAACTCTTCCTCCCACCTCGCCTTCCCCCAGGGGACTCTGAGCAGGGCTGGTGGCTGCGCCCCTCCCTGCAGCTTCGGGGCAGCCCCACGGGCTGTACCCACTGCCCTCCCCATGGGACACACGCATCTCCCTGGGAGATGGGGGTCCCGGCCACGTGTGTGGTGCCCACAGTGGAGCAGGAACCCACCGATACGGGGGCCCGGCGGTGCTCGCACGGCAGCGCTGGCTGCGGGCAGGAGATAAACCTCCCCACTTCCTCGGCCGAGCGTTCGGCCCCTCGCAGCCTCCCCGAGCTCCCCGGCTGCCACCTGCGAGCACCCCGAGAGCAAAGCGTTTGCCGGAGAAATATTTATAACTCCAGCGGGCGGCTTTGCATTTCACACCTCAGCCCCAGCTCAGCTCTGTGTGCCGCTGCGGTGAAAACTCCGCATGGCAGGGTTTCACTGCCGGAGCCCTGGTGCTCTGGGTACCTCCGGGGGTTTTGCAATGTTTATGCCACCGTGGGGCTCTGCAAAGCCTCTTCCCCTCCGGGCACGGAGGGTTTGCTGAGGCAGGAAGCTGCAGGCTGTGATGGTGCTGTGCAAGGAACCCGGTGTCTGGGGGCTGCTCGGCTGCTGGACCCCCAACCTCCTGCCACCATCCATGGGGTCTTCAGGGCATCCCTGCAGCCAGACGGGGCTGTGAAAGGGGCTGCAGCAGCCCAAAAGCCTTTCGGTGTGGCAGAAACCGCATGGCCCGGACATGGTTAAAGGCAAAACTGCTTTGGGTTATACATCCCCTCAGGGTTTGAGCATCCTCCACTGCTGGACGGCTGGGAAAGGCAACGCCGAGGACTTTCCCCATCTTCCCTTTCTCCAAAGGAAAATCCCAGCTGGGATGGAGCCGTGGGTTTTGCCAGTGGAGGGGTCCCAGGGGAGCAGAGGGAATGGCCCCCCTCCAGCGCTGGCGTCGCGGCAGGAATGCAGAGAGCAGCAGTGAAGGCCGGCTCCCGCGCAGCCCGGGGCTGGGAAGCGGGGTGAAGGCCGCTGCAGCTGCCTCCCGGGGCTCTGAGGACAACCCAAGGTCTGTGAGAAAGAGCAGAGCTCCCTCCCGGTGGGTACCCAGCGCTTCCTCCCAGAGCAGCCGGCAGCGACCCGCTCCCAGGCTCCCACACCAGCTCCTCCGAGTCACCCCCATCCCTGTGCTCTGGGAGCATCCTGGGGTGGGGGGGGCAGTACCAGCTTGCACCCCAAGCTGTGTGCCCTGGAGGATGTGATCTGGGGAGCAAAGACCCCCCAAACCCCGTTGTGCATCCCCCTGGGTGCATCCCAGCACCCAGTGGGGGGGCTGGGCTGCAGCAGACTGGTCCCAGTCCCAGCACCCCAGTTCCCAAGCCAACAGCACCCAGCATCTTCCCCAGCCCTGGGGATGGAAACCCCCAAAGCCCCTCACCCCAACGGGCTTCCTAACGAGAACAGAGCCCATCTTGCCTCCGAACATCCCTTGGGTGGTGGTGACTCAGGGGAGCATGTGAGCACACACTCACACTCACTCTCACACTCACTCTCACACTCATTCCCCCTCCCCGCCAGGTGAGCACCCCATCCCTCGCCCACCCCGTCCCCGTGGCCACTTACTGAACTTCTTGAAGCCCCCTCGTTTCTGGCCCTCGGCCATGGTCGCGCCGGTGGGAGGCCGCGGGGACTGAGAGGGACAAGTTTATAACCGTGAAGCCCTTCCCTGCCCCCGCTCCTCCCTTCCTGCCCTCCCCTCGCCGTCGCTCATCGCTCGCTCGGCGTTTCCTCCCCAGTGCTGTCATCTGCTCCCAGCCCCGCTCCTGTCCCTGCCCACCATCCCCACTACTGTCCCCACCGTCCTCGCTGTCCCCCGTGTCTGCTGTCCCCCTGGCTGCTCAGGGGCCACCCCTGGTACCCTGGTTTGGGGATGCCTGGGAGATGTGGACACCCAAAAAACTCCTCCATAGGGTGCCAGCGCCAGGGAAGAGGGTGCCAGCCCCGTGGAGGAGGGTCTTAGCCCTGGACAAGGGTGCTAGCCCTATGGCTGAAGGTGCCACCCTACAGAGGAGGCTGCCAGCCCTATGGGGAGGGTGCCAGCCCCATGGAGAAGATACCAGCCTTGCAGACAAGGGTCTGCCATGCACACATGGGGCTCAGCCCATGTGGGGTGACAGCCAGATGGCATCACTGCCACCAACCGATCTCTCATGCTGGGGGAGATTGGGGTGCCCCGTAGGAGTGTTTCCATGCAGGACAAGGTGGTGTGGGCCGGGCAGGGATCTGGTGTCCATGTTGTCCCCCACTCCCTGGGAACACCTGGTGGTGGCTCCTGTGGCTGGGATGCCAATAGCCATCTCTGAGGCTGCTCTGCCCTTGGCTCCCTGTGCTCCCCACCTTCAAACAACCCCCAAAAAAGCTCTTCATCCTGTACCCGAACACGGGTGTTGATGGGGGCTCAGTGTCCCCAACTGGGCATGGTTCCACCAGTGGGGCAGGAGCTCAGGGTCCCCCCATGACCGGGCCCTGGTGTCCTCCTGCCCTGGCCATGAGGGGTCCCCCGGGTGCGGTCGCAGTGCCAGGGAGCAGAAACACCGTCCGATCCCTGGTGGGCTTAAGCACACAGGGGACATGGTGACATGCTTTAGGGCCACCACCACCGGGTGCTGCTCGGTGCCCTGGGCCATGTGGAGGGACATGGGTGACAGCGGGGGACGGAAGCTGTTTCCATGAGGACGCCGGGGTGCGGACAGGGACCGGGACACGGGCTGTGGGGCGGCGCACGGCGGGGCGTGGGGCCAGGGTGACAGGCGGTGACAACATGGCCGCCAGCGGCGGACTACAACTCCCAGCAGGCAGCGCGCGGGCGGCGCGCAAGGCCCCCCTCCCTCCTCCCCGCCGCGCCGGAAGGGGCGTGGCACGTGCCGGAAGCGGAGCGGCGCGGTGCTGTGGCAACGGCGGCGGCCGGCATGGCTAAACAGTACGACATGGTGGAGTGTCCCTTCTGCGATGAGGTCTCCAAGTACGAGAAGCTCGCCAAGATCGGTCAGGGCACCTTCGGGTGAGCGTCTCGACGGTCCCGACCCTCCCCGCACCCGGCCCCGGCCCTCCCCGGCCCGCACCGGGCCTACCCCGCCCTCGGGCCTGCTCTCCGGGCCCGCCCGCTACAGGCCTGCGTGTCCCTTCCTTGGGTGTCTTTTCCCCTCTGGGCCCAGGGAACCGACCTGGCCCCTGAGCGCCCTTTTTGCCACCCCGAGGCCCTGCTTCATCCCAGGCGCTGGCCAAGGAAGGTTTACCCTGGAAACAGTTGGGGTGGGAACGTGTAACTTTGCCCAAAAATGTGCAAGTTTGCCCAAAATGGGGCTGTGGGATCTCTGGGTTGGCTCGGCCGGTTCTGAGGGGTTTTGGTCCAAAGGGGACATGTCTGGTGTGTGGCTCTGGCACATCTTGTTTGGTCTTTTCTCTGGTTTGGAGCACCTGGCTCCTTCCCTTTTTCCTCGTGCTGCTCACAGATTTCTTTCTGTTTTTACTTTTGCCACCCCGAGGCCCTGCTTCATCCCAGGCGCTGGCCAAGGAAGGTTTACCCTGGAAACAGTTGGGGTGGGAACGTGTAACTTTGCCCAAAAATGTGCAAGTTTGCCCAAAATGGGGCTGTGGGATCTCTGGGTTGGCTCGGCCGGTTCTGAGGGGTTTTGGTCCAAAGGGGACATGTCTGGGCAGGTTAGTGGCACAGCACAGAGCCTTGTGTGGCTCTAGTGCATCTTGTTTGGTCGTTAGTTTGGAGCACCTAGCTCCTTCCCTTTTTTCTTGTGCTGCTCACAGATTTCTTTCTGTTTTTACAGGGAAGTTTTCAAAGCTAAACATCGTCAGACGGGCAAGAAAGTAGCTCTGAAGAAAGTGTTGATGGAAAATGAGAAGGAGGGGGTAAGTGTGGGAGCGTGGCTGGGCTGTGTTTGGGAAAGCTTGGATTGGGGGTGTTCATAGGTGAGAGCTAAGCTTTGGGATGTGGATTGGATTAACCCCAGCTGGCAGCTAGGATCATGTGAAAGTGTGGAAAAACTCGTGGATTGACATAAAGGCAGTTTAATAGGTAGAGCAAAAGCACAGGGAAGTTTTCAAAGCTAAACATCGTCAGACGGGCAAGAAAGTAGCTCTGAAGAAAGTGTTGATGGAAAATGAGAAGGAGGGGGTAAGTGTGGGAGCGTGGCTGGGCTGTGTTTGGGAAAGCTTGGATTGGGGGTGTTCATAGGTGAGAGCTAAGCTTTGGGATGTGGATTGGATTAACCCCAGCTGGCAGCTAGGATCATGTGAACACTCCCCCAGTTGTGATGGGGGGAGAGAATTGGAAGAGTAGAAGTGTGGAAAAACTTGTGGATTGAGATAAAGGCAGTTTAATAACATGTGCACATAAGCAAAGCAAAACAAGGAATCTGTTCCCTGCTTCCCATGGGCAGGCAGGTGTACAGCCATCTCCAGGAAAGTGGGCAGGCAGGCGTACAGCCATCTCCAGGAAAGCAGGGTTCCGTCACACGTAACGGTTACTTGGGAAGACAAATGCTGTAACTCCAGACGTCCCCTGCTTCCTTCTTCTTTCCCCAGCTTTATGAGCTGAGTGTGACATCGTATGGTGTGGAATATCCCTTTGGTCAGCTGGGTGACATTGCATGGTGTGGAATATCCCTTTGGTCAGCTGGGATCAGCTGTCCCAGGTGTGTCTCCTCATGACTTTTTGTGCCCTCCCAGCCCTCGCTGTCGGGGCGGTGTGAGAAGCAGAAAAGGCCCTGACTGCCCAGCAACAACCAAAACCACCGCTGTCAACACCATTTCTCAACCCAGATCCAAAAGCAACCAAAACCACCGCCGTCAACACCATTTCTCAACCCAGATCCAAAACATAGCACTATACCAGCTGCTAGTAAGAAAGTCAACTCTGTCCCAGCTGGAACCATGACAGGATGGCAGAGATGCGTTTTCACTTTGTTCTTAAGCAATATTTACTGCTATAACATGCCAGATCTTGAACCCATAAGGGTGTGGACAGGATCCCATCCCTGTAGCCTTTTTCCTTTCCTCCTGATACTGTGATAATGTTGGGTCTTATACCCTGCCAAAGTACAGTTTGCCCTGCTTGTTGTCACCTTCTTGGCTGCAAAGGCACATGGCAACGGTGTGGTGCAGTGGCTGTGTGGTGACAGGGCTGCGTGGGATGGCAGCTGGGAGGTGACACTGCTCATGTGTTGTTCCTCCTCTGCAAAACCCAGTCGCCCCCAGCTCAGGGCTCCACACTGGCTTGTGGAGGAAACAGGTAGTGTGTGAAAGCCATGTGCCCGGGGGTGTGCAGAGTTGGGGCAAGCTGGGGAGAGAGTTAACAGCAGAAACAGCACAGGCAGCAGCTGGGGAGGCTGCTCTGCAGCTCGAGCTGGGCTGTACCATGTCCTGTTGGGAACACTCAGGGTGAGGAGAGGAGGGAGAGGTGTCTGTGGTCTCAGCACCACACAAACACCTCTGTCTCGGGGCAGAATCCTTCTCACTGATGGTGGCCTGATGGTGAGGAAATTTTGGCAATCCACGTGTTGGTGGTATGTTTTAAAGCTTTGTTTGCCCTACATTGACTTGTCACGGTGCTGCTTTAGCAGGTCCCCTGCCAGGCTGCCGTGATCACCTCTCTCCTGTTCTCTAGGCAGGGGTGGCCTCATCTCCTGCAGCCCTAATCCCTGTCCTCTCTTTCTTCTTTGCAGTTCCCCATCACAGCCTTGAGAGAGATTAAAATCCTCCAGCTGCTCAAACATGAGAACGTGGTGAACCTCATAGAAATCTGCAGGACCAAAGGTAGCTTGCAGGGGATCTCCCTTTCACTGGCTGTCAGCATATATTTTTTTTTTCAGCCCTTCTTCACCGCTGAGCAGGCTGGTGGTTGGTTTGTGGTGGGAGCAGGGTCCTTTAGCTGAGCACGGGCCTTTGTTCCTGCCTGTGATGTGAGGAGGTGGGAACACTCATCTTGGAAAATGGTTTCTAAATGAGTTAGGATGTTGCTGCAGTTTGGCTGGAAAAAGCAATTTTTCAGTCCTGCTGGGATGAGAAACTCCCATCCATAAGGGTGTGGACAGGATCCCATCCCTGTAGCCTTTTTCCTTTCCTCCTGATACTGTGATAATGTTGGGTCTTATACCCTGCCAAAGTACAGTTTGCCCTGCTTGTTGTCACCTTCTTGGCTGCAAAGGCACATGGCAACGGTGTGGTGCAGTGGCTGTGTGGTGACAGGGCTGCGTGGGATGGCAGCTGGGAGGTGACACTGCTCATGTGTTGTTCCTCCTCTGCAAAACCCAGTCGCCCCCAGCTCAGGGCTCCACACTGGCTTGTGGAGGAAACAGGTAGTGTGTGAAAGCCATGTGCCCGGGGGTGTGCAGAGTTGGGGCAAGCTGGGGAGAGAGTTAACAGCAGAAACAGCACAGGCAGCAGCTGGGGAGGCTGCTCTGCAGCTCGAGCTGGGCTGTACCATGTCCTGTTGGGAACACTCAGGGTGAGGAGAGGAGGGAGAGGTGTCTGTGGTCTCAGCACCACACAAACACCTCTGTCTCGGGGCAGAATCCTTCTCACTGATGGTGGCCTGATGGTGAGGAAATTTTGGCAAACCTGGTGTTGGTGGTATGTTTTAAAGCTTTGTTTGCCCTACATCGAGTTGTCACGGTGCTGCTTTAGCAGGTCCCCTGCCAGGCTGCCGTGATCACCTCTCTCCTGTTCTCTAGGCAGGGGTGGCCTCGTCTCCTGCAGCCCTAATCCCTGTCCTCTCTTTCTTCTTTGCAGTTCCCCATCACAGCCTTGAGAGAGATTAAAATCCTCCAGCTGCTCAAACATGAGAACGTGGTGAACCTCATAGAAATCTGCAGGACCAAAGGTAGCTTGCAGGGGATCTCCCTTTCACTGGCTGTCAGCATATATTTTTTTTTTCAGCCCTTCTTCACCGCTGAGCAGGCTGGTGGTTGGTTTGTGGTGGGAGCAGGGTCCTTTAGCTGAGCACGGGCCTTTGTTCCTGCCTGTGATGTGAGGAGGTGGGAACACTCATCTTGGAAAATGGTTTCTAAATGAGTTAGGATGTTGCTGCAGTTTGGCTGGAAAAAGCAATTTTTCAGTCCTGCTGGGATGAGAAACTCCCATCCGAGAGGCTTTAAATAAACCAACGCCAGAGAAACTTTGAAGCAGAGGGTTCTCAGCCTGGAGCTGCTCTCGTGGCTGTGTGTGACCGGTTCCCTGTCAGGAGCTGGAGTTGTCCCTCTCGGTTGGCTTATGACAGTTGGTGGCAGCTCCGAGCTGATGACACAGCTTCAGCTGGAGACTCACTCGGTGTCTCTGTGGGTGACAGTAACCGATGGCGCTGTGAGGGCTGGGACTCCACATGGGGTGGTTCTGAGCTGCTCTTCCACCTCCTCACTTCCAGCTCTGCTGCGTGACTGGCCTGGCTCCATTTCCAGTGAAATTGCTCTAAAACATTTGCTAGTTTTTATATATCATTCTCTTATGGGGATTTGTACTGCAAAAATACCTTTGAAAGTGACAGCCGATGTTAAAGCCTGTCATTCTCTAGTCAGTCATTTCAGTTAAATAAAAACGAAAGTGGCAGGTATCTGGTGATGATGTTTTTTAAATAAGCCCAGTCACTGGACCTGGGACTGGGAACTTGAAGTTACTCCAGTACTCCATTGTGTGTAGATTATTGTCTGAACAGGTAGGAGTAAAAACACCACCACCAAGTTAATTTTTAATTCACTGTGTGATAAAATGAGTTCCTAAGGTAAATATTTTTGTAGACATGGCAGTTGTTTGTGTTTTGTTTGAATTCCGGTCTTCACCCAAATCTACCTTGACCTCAGTTTCCAGTAAAGTGGAAACGTTACATTTGCTGTTCTCAATTTTTCTCCGTTTTTAAGAGCTTTTCTGTTTTTTTTATGTTGGAAAGCTGCGGTCGGGGCTGTATCTGTGTAAGGAACTACAAACCCTGCCCAGCAGGCACCCTCCTGCCTGGCAGAGGAGAGCGGTGTGTTTCCATGGGGGCTGAGCTTAGACATCGTTTTTCGGTTGGAGTTGCTGAGCAGCAGGTTTTGCTGATTACAGCTGATAAAAATCAGCCTTTCTTTTTAATAATGATTTGCATGCGTGCTCTAGGAACAAGATTGATATCGATTGCTTCACTTGAGGTTTCCTGTTACTGACTTTACGTTGCAATTGACGTTTTAAATCGCTTTGATTCAGATTCAGTCCGTTTTGGTAGATGCCATTTGAGGTTGCAGAAAACCTTACTTTCTAATGTTATAATGGACAGATTTTCTGTGCATTTTTTCCTGGGGCTGTCTTTATGGGTGCCTCCTCTATCGCTGATGCAATCAGTGATAGGTGCTAGGCTGGCAGCTGGCAGTGTGAGCACCTACCAGCCACAGCCTGCAGGGAAGGAAACCTCACAGCCGTTATGTGCACAGAACAACACAAGATGAAGCTTTCAAACATTCTTATGCCCTTTCCTTGCCTGTTCTGATGACTTTGACTACTCCGATCCTCATCCCCTGTTTTCCCGTTGCTAGTTGTGCTTAGTGCCTCTTCACCAAGGATCTTGAGGCCTGCAGGATGTCTCTGCTTCTCTGTGTTCTGTGCCCTGAGGTTTTGCCTCGTGAGCGTTGTGTGAGCAGTGGGGTGGTTGGAGGTCAGGAGGAGCTGTGACGGGGCTAAGGGTTCCTTGCTGACAGTCCCTCCTTGCTTCTCCTGTAGCCTCTCCGTACAACCGCTGCAAGGGCAGTATCTACCTCGTGTTTGACTTCTGTGAGCACGACCTGGCTGGCCTTCTCAGCAATGCCCACGTCAAGTTCACGCTCTCAGAGATCAAGAAAGTTATGCAGATGCTGTTGAATGGACTTTACTACATCCACAGGAACAAGGTAACGGGCCAGTTCCGTACTGTGCCCTGAGGTCACCCTGCTCTCTGGCCTCGCAAGAAGCCAAGGTGTCTTAGTATAGGCTGGAGGGAAATCCTTCCTCATCTTCCATCTCTGGAGTCTGAGTGTCCTGCTAGCACCAGGCTCCCAAGGAGGGTACCTTAATGACTTATTTCCATGTCTGTCCTCGTACAGATCTTGCATCGAGACATGAAAGCTGCGAATGTCCTGATCACACGGGACGGAGTGCTGAAGCTTGCGGACTTTGGGCTGGCTCGAGCTTTCAGCCTGGCTAAGAACAGCCAACCCAACCGCTACACCAACCGGGTGGTGACTCTGTGGTACCGGCCCCCAGAGCTGCTCCTAGGTAGGAGGTGATGGGCTCTGCTGGCTTCTCTGGCCTTCTCCTTCCCCCGGGTGACTAACACGGCATCTCCGTTTAGGGGAGCGGGACTACGGTCCCCCCATTGACCTGTGGGGCGGAGGCTGCATCATGGCAGAGATGTGGACCCGCAGCCCCATCATGCAGGGGAACACAGAGCAGCACCAACTCACCCTCATCAGCCAGCTCTGTGGATCCATCACGCCGGAGGTGAGGGCGAGAGCGTGGGCAAAGCTGTGGGAGGGCGGGAGGAGAGCTGCAAAGTGGGGTGGAGTGGGCAGGATCTGGGACTGGGCACTTCTGGAGCTTCTTCCCTGCCCTGTGCGCTGGCTGCTGGCACTGGAGTGTGCCCACTCGGTGCTGGGGGAACTGAGGGAACCTCCTGCAGGTGCTGTTTGCTTCTGGGGAGCCGACTGCGCAGTAGGACACTGCACTTAGCCTTGCTGCTCTATGTAAGCTACAGCTGTTGCCTTACTTGTGTTCAACCTCCTAAACACACGAGGGTGAACTTGACCTCCCAGACCTCCTTTGGGAGGGGGCGAATTGTGTCCTTGTTTTTGAGCACAGAGAGGCTGCTGGCTGAGTGTGAAAGAACAGAACATTACGTATAGGAGTCTGTTCTAGTCTTTGTTTGGGGGGTTGTCTCTCAGATAAACAAGAAAGGTTTGTTTTGTTTGGGTTTTTTTGTGTTTTGTGTTGAGGGGTTTGTCTCAGGTGCTTTGCACTGCTCACCTTGAAAAGCCTCTAATTCTGGCTTCTGATTTGCGGCGTCAGCTCGGCCCTGGTGGGAGCACTCAGCCCTTCCTCAGCTCCTTATTTAACGGCAGCTTGTCCTGCCCTCTTGTGGGGGATCGAGCTGAGGGATCTCTTGGCCGGGGCTGCAATCCAGGGGATGCCATGGGCAGGCAGCTGCAGATGCCTTTATTACACACATTAAAGTTGCTTTCTTTTTTATGTATGTGCCTGCTGTGCTCTCTCCCAGATCAGGGTTGAGGTGAGTGCTGGTGACTGAAGCAGGCTTTGCTTTCTAAGGCTAAAAGAAATACATGTGGGTTGTTATTTAGCAATAAGTTTTGTCATTTTACCTTTCTGGATCTTGCAGCTGGCGTGAGCCTTGCTCTCTAGTAGCATTTGTGTGGGAGAGCCAGCCTGGAGCATCCTAGCTGGCTCCACACCAGGAGGACTCTGTCCTGACTTGTCCATGTGTCTCCAGGCTTTAGTGCACTATTTAGTGCCTCCTTCATGCTGTGGGAACAAGGTCTGCTGGCGTGGAGGTTATAAAATAGCATTGTTCTCTCTGCAGACCTCGCCCTGGTTTGCCCGAGGGTGTTAGCATCAAAAATGGCTTGTCCTCTCCTCTCTGTAACTATTTCTTCCCAACCCTCCCTTCCTGCTCCTTCCCAGGTTTGGCCAAATGTGGATAAATATGAGCTGTACCAGAAGCTGGATCTCCCCAAGGGCCAGAAGCGCAAGGTGAAGGATCGCCTCAAAGCCTACGTTAAAGACCCCTACGCCCTCGACCTCATCGACAAGCTGCTGGTGCTGGATCCTGCCCAGCGCATCGACAGCGATGACGCGCTGAACCACGACTTCTTCTGGTCAGACCCCATGCCCTCGGACCTCAAAAACATGCTGTCCACCCACAACCAGTCCATGTTCGAGTACCTGGCCCCACCACGCAGGAGGGGGGGGCACATGCCCCAGCAACCAGCCAACCAGGGCAGGAACCCGGCCGCCACCAACCAGACTGAATTCGACAGGGTGTTTTGAGTGGGGGGCTTCCCCAGCAGGGTCCCAGCTGGGCTGCTCTGTGGGTCGCATCGAGCGGGGATGTCCCAGCGAGGACTTTTCTGTCTGGGAAAGGACTTTCTTCAAGGCGAAGTGCCTGCTGGCTTTAACCAAGCTCTGCCATCTCCCCTCCACCGCCGAGCTGTGTGACTGGGGAGGTGACACCTGCGAGCCCGGGGTTGTTTCACCCGCGTGTCCCCCTGCAACAGTCTCTATTGATTACATTAATCTTGCGGATCGATCGTTACGGACCTGGTGATGGAGAAAGCGGCTCTGTCGGTGCTGTGGCTCTTAACAAATGGTGCTGTGACCAGCAGGACTGGGAGTTAGCTGCCCTGGACCAAACTGGGACTTGCTGGAAGGTGTCTCAGCACTCTTGCTTGGTCGTAGCTCCTGCACGGTGTATCCTTGGAACACTTGAAGCGTTGGTGTGGGATGAGGCAGGTGCGTCTGAGTGATGTGGTGTTGCCCTGGGGAAGGCAGAGTCCCTCCAGGCAGCGTGACTAACTCTCGCTGCGGTTTGGGCTCTGGCCTAGAAATGGCTTTACTGGGAAAAACCAGAGGAGTTGCCGGCAGAGCTGGTTGCTCTATACAGCCAGGATTTACAGCGGGAATCGTTGGTCTCTGCAACAGCAATCCACGCTTTCTTCATTGCGAGCTGCAATTCGGAGCCTTGTGGGACACCCCCAGCCTGCTGCCTGCTCTCCCCAGGAGTGTGGATGGGGAAGGGAGCCTGGAGCCGGGGGTGAGACCTGCTCCATCCCGCTCTCTGCAGGGATGTCACCATGGCACCTCTGTCCCGCAGCTCTTGGAGCCTAGAGCAGCACTGCTGCCTTCCCGGGGTGCTGCGACCGGCCCCGTGCGCTGCCATGGTGGTCACACACCTTCTGCCAGAGCTTGTTGGGACTGGGAGGGACCGAGCCGCTCGCTCAACACTTTGTCTTCCAGGGCTGTCAGGTGCAGCTGCCCATCTTCTCGGCCAACCCCATGGCTCCCAAGACTTTCAAACGGCTAAGGTGTACCACACGCAGCGGGCGATAACCTTTGGCATTGGATGGGTTGTCCATTAACTAGACGGATGGCAAAAGCCACCTGGGTAGCATAAGGTCTCAGGGGAGGGAAGCGGTGGTGAGCAGGGCCCTTCTCAGGACAAAAAGTGAGGATGATAAAGGACACGTACAAGGTAAATCTCTCTTGGTGCGGGGCTCTGAAACCGTGTCTGGTTGGGGGCGGTGCCGGGGGGGGAGGATGGGGGCGACTTGCTTTCTATGGGGAAAAAAAAGATGGATTTGATTGCCAGCAATAAGCCAATGACTTCTGCCGGTTGTGAATAAACACCTTCCTGTCCCAAAAGGGCTGGTTTTACCCCCGTCTCGCTCTTTTTGCCTCAAGGGAGAAAGTGGCCGAGCGCCACCTCCCCCGGGACAGGGGGTGACTCCTCGGGGGGCTGTTAACGGGAGGGTGCGAGGTGGGGGAGGCTGAGGGGGGGACAGCCGGGAAGGGGGGGGCTCCGCT